AAGAAATTTTTGAAGAAAAATCAAATTTAGAAGAAACATCTAATGAGGACGAATAAAATAAAACCAGTTTCTAAAACTATTATAAAGCTTAAGGATATGACTTGCAATAAAAACCCATTTCATTAAGGGTAAAATGGACTTTTCTATCAAAATACCAAACGGGTCAAAAGATCCGGCTAGTTTGAAAATTCTCCCGGTTTGGGGGAAGATAAAGAAGATCTAGAGTTTTTTTTTTTTTTTNTCTAGAGTTTTTTTTTTTTTTTAATTGTTTCTCTAATTTGGTTTTAACTTATTTTAATGTAGTAAATTGAAAGTAACCATTATTTACAAAAAATATAAAAAATGTGGTCAAACTCAATTTCTTGGTCAACTAACAGACATTTGGATGGAAGCCGTCCATTGGGGCTTCAGCCGCAACATTTCGAAAGGTTAGGGGTGACGGTTGTAACAAATGAAAGATCAGGGGAAAGTTTGCAACTATTTGAAAGGTTTGGGGCCTCTGCTGTAATTATCCCTGGAATTTATGATAACTTGTACAAGAAAATATATATGTGAATCAAATCAAGAAGAAATAGAGAAGACTGGACAACGCTATCCTCACTAAAGCTCTTGGAGCAAATGCAACCATAGTCTCCTTACGTGCACTTCCGATAAGTCTATTTCATGTTCATGCTAGCAACAACAACTAAGTGCTAGTGTCTCCGACCAAGTGTTACACGTTCTCTAGGTCCGAAGGGATCCAATGTCCAACTGTCGACTCCTTTTGAAATTGCGTTATTGGAGATGAGCCAGGAATTGTCATTAGTGGACACCACCACTTTTCACGATATGAGAGGCCCTCTTTAATACATTAAGAACAGATGTTCACATGGGCGAAAATGATTTGGTCATAGGAATTTAGACATGATGAGTACATCGATGGTGTATGTGGAGAAGGAAGAGCTGCAATTAGGGGTAGATATGACATGTATGTAGGCGAGACCACACATTTCTCTGGATTATCATAGTGTACTTTCACATATAAAAGTCTTTTTGTAATAGATGCCCTTAATGTTAATCGTTAGGGTTAAGTCCTAGATGCTTTTCGTTTTTTCCAACCTATCTCGTCATCTTAACTTAACCCCATCTTTTCAACCGTAAGAAAGTTCCACAATTGGACCATTCCCACTTTCTTCTAATCAAAGGTTTAGATTCTTACAATTTATTTTTATGGATGATTGAACTTTTTTTACATATCTTTATTAGTTTTTCTTCATTTCTTTTGTCCCTTCTTGGGTGAACAATGGAATAATGTTATCCAACACTAAGGGCCTGTTTGATAGCCCTTTATTTTCCATGGAAGTTGGAATTGAAATTCCGTTTCCTACTTTTGTCGTGTTTGATGGCACTTTTTTTTCTTGGAATTGGTTTTCCACCTTTTTCTAGGTACAATCCTTTGATGCACAAAAACTTGATTTTGTTTTCTCACCTATTTGGTGGGAAAACAATTTCTACCTTTTTTTTTTTTGCTTTTTATTTTTTTATTTTTTTGCAATGTGAACAAATTCTAGATACAATGGTAAAAAAAAAATTTCACTTTTATTGACAATTTCCATGCAAAACAAAGTCAAACGAATGATATTCGGTATGGTAAATTTTTTTTTTTCAATTTTTTTTTTCAATTTTTTTTTTACAATTGGAACAAATTTTAGACCAAATGGTAGAAAAAATTATCACTTTAATGGACAAATTCCATAAAAAACGAAGTCAAATGGATACAAATCTTTCTACATTTTCCATAGAAAATTTTACCAATCAAACACAATTAATTACAATTCCCAGTAAAACATTTTCTAGGAAAATCAATTCCCTATAAAACATTTTCTTTCCACCCATTTTCCAACTTTGCAATCAAATGGACCCTAATAGTACTAAAGCACCAATTTACGTGATCACATTTGATAATCCAATTAAATGGATCATTTGACTTTACATTTAAATGAATCTACCATTTAATGCATCTAGTTGCTACTAAAATTGGTACTAAATATCGATGAAGCTAAATAGCATTACTCGTTAACAATGTCCCATTGCATGAATCCATGAATGACCAATTCAGAAGTTTGAACTCCGAACCAACACATCTTACATTTCTAACAAATTATTTCAAGACTTCAATATCTTTAGCAATTTCCTAAAAACTATATAAAAATAACTCACTTGGGTTAATGTATACAAATGGGTTGTAAGTCCCATTTTAATTTGGACTCAAATTCTCTCTCCCACTTGAGATCCCTTTCACAATCTCACTAACAAGCAAAATGTACTTTACAATCGGTTGCATTTGTGGGCTCGCAACTCCAGCATGGAGAGTTCGATTCCTGAAATGCACGAGTCTTGGAAGGGAGATTTTCTCGAAGGCAAGGCAATGATTAGAAGGCAGTGATGGGAGCTCTCTTGGGGCCTGGAGTATAAGCGATGCAGGAACCTGAGAGCCAATAAGGGCGTAACTCGCGGTTTACCTCCTCGAGTCGCTGAGGGGTCGGTAGCTAGAGGTTCAGGATTTAGTCGGCTAAGTTGGGATACTTGGGTAACAAAAAAAAAAAAAAGTACTTTACAATCGGTGTTTGGGCCCATTTTTGTAAAGATAGATTTTGTAATAATTTTTTTTTTTTTAAAGGATGTATGGTTTAAAAGTGGGAAAAAAGTTTTAAATTGAAAATAAATTTAAGAAAAAAATAATTTTTTATGTTACAAACGGCTCCAATACAACTACGTCCATTTTTGTAAATGTGGAGAATAAAAATGAGCATGGAGCTCCACTGACGCTGCTCTAATCAATACATCTTGACCTATTTATTTTCCCTAATAATAATTGCGCCAGGCTGAATCAAACTCCAGCTCTGTTCTCTGCTCTCTTCTCTTTGGTTGAGTCAATATTGCACCCCACAAACCCTCGGCTCGTGACTCTCACTTGGATTTGTGTTCTTTTTTCAGTTTTAAGGTTTTGAATTCTTGGAATTGGTTGGGAAACTTTATATTTTAAGGTTATTTTTTTAAAGGTTTTAATGTATCTCTGTTTCCTCGCTTTTCAGTACAAAAGACTTCGCTACATTTTCCCTCATTCGCAGAGTAATTTTGTAATTTTTTTATTTACTATCATGATTAGAATATTCCCTTAGTTTGATTTCTGTAACTCTTTTGACTAAATTGATTAGGTTGAGTATGGGTGTATTTTTCTATCTATGACAGGATAACAGAATTATTTGGAGAGATGCCAATTTTTTTATATATTTTATAATGAATCTGGCTCTGGGTTAATATGATTTTCAATTTTGTATAGATTTGAAACAACATAGGAGTGTGTGTCAGGAATTGAATTTAGTTCCTATCATCTAACTATCAAGAAATGTGTGAAGAAAGGTTGGGAATTTAAGATATTAAACACTTGAGATTTGAAATGAAGCATAATATTTCGGGATGATTTCATATTTGTTGGTAAAATCTGGTAACAAGTTAGCAGAATGTGTGTATTACTTTTGTTTTTTAAGGTTCTACAGTGCTTTCAAACTGCACAAAACTTCTTTTTCCTTGTCCTTCATTATAAATATCCTCTTTTAATTCAATAAAAAAAAAATGTAAAATCAGGAAAGAATAATAATGAAAAAAGAAATCTTACTCCGAGGTTACTGCTCACGTTACTTCCATTACTATTGTTTATGTGATTTTGGTGGGTTCTCTGATATTTTATTTTCCAGAATTGTGTATCTTTGATTCTTGGAATATTATGCTTGCATACGATGCGACCAATAGCCAGAGTTTTCTTAATCTGGTGTAGACCCCGCATCTCCTCACCAGATTATATGGCTAAGTCTGCATACCATTAATTTACCGATTAATCTAGTGGGTGTAATCGAAACCAAACTAAGTGTTGGATAACATTTTACTTTATCCAGCTTAATACGGTGTGCTAAAGAGACCCTAGATGTTTTACTTGATATATCTTATGATATTGAGGTTATAATTCTTGTTTGACAAACTAGGAGAAATTCTTGGTGAACGCTTATTTACATTATTCACTCCTCAGAATCTCATTTAAACTCAATTTCTTTTCTCTTGTAAGTTTTAACTTTTACGTGAAGGTTGTTATGAAGTTAAGGATATAATTTTTATTTGTTAGAAAATAGTCAGAAACTGAATTCATAGTTATAGTTAAACTCCTCAGAGTTGAATTAAAGAAACTAACTTATTCTTGTATGTTTTACGTGAAGGTTCTTATGAAGTGGAGGATGCTAGTTTGTTGGGAACTAGGTTGATAATTGTTCATTGAATTCATATTAGGGTAAAAAATCTTCTCAGAATTGCATTTATATCGTTTTCTTTAATGTTTTACCTGTATGTTCCTATAAAGCATTTTCTTTTTTCCTTGGTACTTCCCAGAAAATTTCCTCTATCAGCTTAACAGGTTTCTTCTTGTATTTTAAGCGAATTATTCCTATTTGCAGCTCAAATTATTTGCCAATCAAAAATTCCAATGGGATACCACTTAAACAAGACTAGAAAATCTGGAAAGAGAAAACTCTCATCTGAATCCTCAACCTCCACTGACTATTCCTCTGCCACATCATCGTCACCATCCTCTGATGAATTTGAGTTCTCAAAACGGCACAAACGCACCCAAAAACGACGGCATGGTAAAGATCGGGATGAAGGGCGTAAAAACAAGAAACCACGAAGAGATCATAAAGAGAAGAAGAAAAAGCATACTAAAGAAACTAGAAAGGAGAAAAGAAGAGAGAAAAAGAAAAGAAGGTATGAGTCAGACGACCAAAGTGGGTCTGGATCGGAGGATTTGGAGCCCAAGAGACCCCGAGAGGCTCCACACGTTGTGGCTAAGTATATATTAAATGAGTTTTCAGGTGTTGCTGGGGACTTAGAACAGGTATTTACTAGTAAGCCTTTTATGCTTAGCTTAAAAATGAATAATTTTAATTTTTAGTGCTTGATTATAGTGATTTAGTATCTTATTCTCTTTTTGAAAAATCTGACAGTTCACTTCTTCATTGATTGGCTTTACTGTTTGTTAAGTACTGGGTGTTTGAAATAGAACTTACTTTATGTGAACGATTACTGGGATTTTGTTGTGGAAAAATACATGGGCGTCTTAATGACTAAAACAGATTGATATTTTTGTTCTCTTTTACAATTTGACTCTTCATAAGTAGGTAAAAAAAATGTTGAGCCTGAGTAGTAATGTTAGCTGAAGTAAAAAAGAACAGCATAAAAAGGAAAAAAATTAGGTTGCTAAATGTTGGTGAAGGCGAATGACAATTTTTATGAAGTCCAGAAAACTATTCTTCATTTGTTTTGCGCTTTACCAATATAGGTAAGCTACTCTATTGATTATTTGTTTCAGTCATATTTTGTATTGGTTGTCTCTAGATCTAGGCAATTAGAGGATTTTGTCCCACTTTATTGAGTGATTAATAGATAATCTTGGTGCTAATTCAATATTTGCACTATCTGCATAAAATAGAGCATGTTTGGTTAAAGGTAAATTTTTTTACTTATGAGTTCACTTTGAAGTAAGTAATTAATTATTTTAAGTGATCAAAAAAGAAAATTAGTTACTTATTTTGACAACATGGTAAGAGTTACTTTTTACATTTTTAAAGCTTAGCCAAATATGCTTGGTAGCTCTAATATTTGGACATGTCATCTCTAGTAGGATGCACAGATTAGAGCTCTATAAGAATTTTTTATCTTCCTTTTCCCCTTATCAATACTATCTATGGTGGTTGGTTTTGTACGTTAGCTGTTTGCTAAATTTAATCATGCAATGTAGTCAATTTGTATGGTCGTATCATGATAATGAAATGCATTTGGGATGGTTTTTGCATATGTTTAAGCAATTGCAATACTTTAAGACGCCTTCGTACCTTCTTCTTTATTATTTCGACCTGAGATGATAGTAATTCTAATGTCAATACTTCACCACAATCCACATGCATGTTCATTGTCCTAGATGAGTTTGGTTTTATGATGAAACAAAACATATTCATTCTTATAAATGATTGCTATTTAGCTTTTGCGAATGATTGATGACGGACAAGCTGTTGATATAAGCGGATTATCTGAAAGGTCATTGATCAAGCATCTGAGAAAGCTGTTTATTTCTTTAAACCTTAAAGAAAGTGGTGATCATATTTTTCTGCTTCCACCAAATGTGGGCCCAACATTGGAGGTTGTTGGACCAATTATCCACTCCCATGCCCAACCTCAAAAGCAGCCGCTTGATCATCCTGTATCACAGACAGAGGACTCTGTGAGGGAAGATTCAGAATGCAGAAATATGACTGAAAATGATTTGAATGATACGAAGGAAGATTCTGTTGGTCCACGAAGTAGGTAATAGACCTGTCCTTCCTCACACACAAACAGACATGGAAAGCTACAATTATTTAGATTGCTTCATATTTTGGAAAAAATGCAGTTCAGAATATGTACTACAATTGATTCAAGGAGATGTATGCACTTTTTAACGTTTTACTCAAATCTGTGAAGTGGAGAAATCAGTAAATTATTGTTTCTTTGCTTACATGAAAGAAATGAATAACACTGTTAAGAAGGAAGATGAACACTATCAATTCCATATGGGATTTCCTATTATTTTTTCCTTTTTTTAAAGCATGTACAATTATAGTTCTACTGGTTTGGTATCATAGCACTCGTGTTGGTTCTTGCAGGATAATTGGACCTGAAATGCCGTCAGCTGAGTTGCTTGCTGTAGCAGCTAAATTAACTGAAGCAGAAGCTGAATTGAGGTATTGACAGATAATTATAAATTGTGGAGAGTTATTTGTTTGCAATTTCAAAGGAAATTTTCCCGATAGGTTCTTTTGCATTTTTTAAGTCTTTTCATTAAGTTTACTTTGTAGAACTTATGAGTGTGGCCTAATTGATTATTAGAAATTTCAAGCCCTGGATTGTGGTTTCTATGTTAATTTCTGATGATGAATACATACAGAGAGGCCGAGTTGATTGAAGACACGAAATTATTTATAGGACCTCCACCTCCTGCTGTGGTCACCGAAGCTGAGTCTGCAAATGAGGCAGAGCGTTTTGAAGAGGTTTATTCTCTTCCCCTTTCATGACCATCAGGAAACCTCTGTTTCACTAATAATAATTAACACTTTGCCTATTTACATACTTAACTAATGGACCCTTGTACTTTTTTTTTTAATATGCAGATAATAAGATAAGAAAATTCCTTAATCATCTCCTACATAGCATGCAATTGCATTTATTGCTAATTACAACTCCATGTTTGTTGCTGCATGGGACTGAACTTATTTCTTGTGTTCAGATTACAAGAATTATGGGCGCTGAGGATGATAGTCCGTACGATATTCTGGGTGTCAACAAAAATATGTCAGCTGAGAACATAAAGAAAAGGTATACATGTAAATGACAGTTTGTGGAGAATTGAGAATTTATACTCTTGGGCACATGATCTTTATATTGATTCCACTTGGTATGAAGTCCTTTCGAAGTATCAAAACAAGCACAAGTTTCCAATTGCCAATAAAAATCTGAAAATTGAAGAGTCTTTTATTTATTTATTTATTAACTTTTCCATGTGCATTCTTTTAGAAAGATATAAAGTTGTGAACATAGAAACTTCTTGTATAGTAGCCATTGTTTTGGATGTAGATTTCTAAGTCTTGTATTTTAATGATTTTTTTTCCTTATGATGTGAAGTTAGTTTTATTGATGATCGTTTTTCTTCTTAGGTACTGGAAGTTGTCTCTTATGGTGCACCCTGACAAATGTTCTCACCCACAAGCTCATCAAGCATTCGTTAAATTGAACAAAGCTTTTAAAGATTTGCAAGATCCAGATAAGGTGAGTGTTTGAAATTATTGAAGCTTCCAGTTAATTAAGAAGTTTTCTGTTACTCTTTTGTTCCTTCTATAAATTTGCACCCAAAGGTTCTTGGAATATTATGCTTTAAACAATTAAGTAGTTATTAATAAGTTTACGTCAACGAGTTCTCTGGATTATAATTTAATATTGAAGCTCAGATCATGTAGCTAAAGAAATGCCTTTAATCTGCTTTGGACTCTTGACGTTAGAGTACATGGCAAGTTATATTCAACAGGGGGTAGCATTTTCTGTAATTACAGAGGTTATTGGTTTGTAGAAAAATGATAGAGAATTAGTTGTGTAAACAGTTATAGTTTGTTTAGATTAGATTTGGAAATATTTACTTTGTTTGGCTTCAATTGACTTCTTAATTTATCTCTTTCTAAGGAATCACAGTTGCATAATGTGTTTGTGGTTGAGATGAGGAGTGGCTCCGGTTATGTGTCTTTAGATAATTTTGATCCATTGTTAATTCTTTCTGTATTGAAGACACTAGGATTGTCATAGGCAAGGTTTAAAAAGACGAAACTAAGTATTGAGGTGATTTTTCTTTATGAGGCGATGCGTAAGCCTCACAAAAAACAAAAAATCTAAGTAAATGAATTATAAAATAATACAAAAATACAAAAAAATCAAAGTTGGAGCATATAGTAAATATGATATATAGCCATTAGCATATTGAGATATAGTCCACCTAAAGAAAGAGGATGCTTAGCAAAAAAAAAGTATTACAGAAGTTAGAAATAACTCAATTTGCAATTAAAAAAAAGAAGCAGCTTAAACTAAAAAAAAGCCTAATAGCTATCATCACTATTACTAGCATCGTTAATGGAATCATCATCATATCTAATTTCCCCATTATCTTCCTCTTCGCTACTCTCAATTTCTACAAAAGGCGGTAGTGAGGCACGCCTTGAGGCGTAGGCCTCAGATTTAGAGGCGTGAACCTCATATTTTTAGCCTAAAAAATACCTCCTCGAGACATACTACATGCGCTTCACTACCGCCTTTTTAAACCATGGCCGTAGGCTTGGGATTATATGGAATTATTTCCTCGAATCTAATGTGCCCTAACTGTAACTTTATGCATAGTTTAAGTGCTTGTTTGGTAAAGCTTTAAAAATTGCTAAAAGTTGAGATCAAAGTTAACAATTAATTCTAACCACACATTTCAAGGGGTTCACGACTTTTCAACCACACATTTTATTAGCTTTTATCAAAGTTCGCTAAAACTTCTATCAAAAGTTTTATCAAACAAATTCCTAAATGATTTGTATATGATTTTGGGCTTATCGAAATAATGTTTCTGTCAGAGAAAAGCGCTGGATGATAAAATAACGCTCAAGGAGGAACAAGAGGAATTTAAGGTACAATTTTGGCATAGCTACAGTCTAGTTAAACTTTAAACGAGTTCTTTATAACTTCCCTCACGAAAATATTTTAATTTTGTAGGCAGAATTGAAATCCATGCGTGAGGCTGCACAATGGAGACGTTTGCAAGGTTTGCATTTCCTGCTAACTTTAATTGATTGGTCTTGTTTGACTCCCCACCCTCTCTTGCCACCATCCTCTCTTGTATGGAATTGCAAATTCACCTTAGAAATCAATTAGAATCCAATTCATCGCATTTTGTTTAACAAAACAAGAATTCCAACAAATTTCTTTTATCTAATTCAAACAAAATCCTATCCTGGCAAAATCCAGTTGTTTAGATTTGACCTACTCTATTCAAACTTCTAATCCCGTAGGAGAACAATCAATCTCAACAGTACATACTAGTGAGGATTGAAAGCTACCAAAAATCGAGGGATTATAGCGTAACATGTCATGTTTGCTTGATTTCTTGAAAACATGAGGTATTTTAGATTAGACTCAAAATTAGCATGTTGGGCTAAGCCTAAAGAGTTGAACTTCTAAGCCTACATTTGGCAAAATTTAGAAATAATTTATAAATGGTCAAACTTAATTTTCAATCACACATTCCAATTGACCCTCAAATATTATCCACTTATCAACCGCTCATTTGTATCTATTTATAAATTAAATCATTTATAGATTCTTCCCAAACGGAGGCTAAGTAAAAAACTGGTCTGGTAAATAATTTTTCATTGGTTAAAGTTGGAAATAGGTAAGTTACTTCGACACTAAGGTAAGAATGACTTCCAAAATACGTAACTTTTTCACTTGTAAGTTGGCACATATTTTATTTCTGTTAACCTTATTAACCAAACTTGTTCCTATATCAAATTAACCTGTGCACTTCATTTCTTAATTTTATATTCCTCGTGGTGCATAATGGTTATGATAATTTACTTGTTACTGAGATTGGTGTTCTCTATGCATTTTTTTCATTTTCTTCTCTTTTTTGAGGTACTTAAATTCCAGCCTGGCAGCCTCCAACTCTTTTTCTGTCTCTCTCTTTGCAAACCAAATAAATAGAAAGGGATTATCCTTTGGCATCCATGTTGTGTATCCCATCGTTAGTACTTTTACTTGGACCATTCTTACTAGGGAGTTTGAATTTCCTTACCTTGTGTGAATTTCAGCAATGGAAATGTTTCTTTGTTCTAAGGGAATTATGATCTCTGTGTGAAAACCAGATTACTGTTGGTTGCAGGTATATCCATGGAGGGTGATGACATACTCTTGGCCGAGATGGATGTTAAAGTTGAGCCGAAAAGAGAAGAATGGATGACAACATTACCACCTGAAAGAAAAGTAAGGGTTAATTCTATTTTTTTTTTCCGTCCCTCGTATATTTATTCCCTCTGAGAAAAACCATTGCAAAAGTTACCTGTTCACATGAGCCATAACCATTGTCCTTTCTGGTTCCCCATTTGGGATTAAGAGTAGCATGTTTGACTAAGCTTAAAAAGCTCACAAGTTTAAAATAATTTGCAAAATTTCTTGTCCTTGCTGCTCTAGAATGAACTCAGATGCAGCAGCCTGCAGTATGTGAATAGGCGTATTAGTAAGAGATGTAGTTTCATGTCACAAATGTTACTGTACTCACTGTTTCTGGTTCTCACGTAATTTAGGGGTTCTGATTTAATTTTTGAAGTCATTTAATAAAACAATCTGATTAATCTCTCTTCCTCAGCCTGGTATGACCATGCAGTCGACAAAGTTTAGCAAGAGCTCGAAAGAAGGACGAGGTGATACAAGTGCCTGGACGGATACTCCTTCAGAAAAGGCTCAGAAAGCAAAATTGAAGTATGTGAACTTTTGTATCATTAATGGCGCAGGATTGTTTTAAACTTCGATTTCTGAAACCGAGATATTTGTGGCAGTTACTTGGAAGCCTACAATGAGGCTACTGCAATTGCTTCGAAGGAGCATGAAAAGAAAGCAGCTAATACCGATGCAGAATTGGTGGACCAGTATAATAAAGCGAAACGATCAAAGTCATTGGTTGAAAAGCACAAAGAATCAGCCAGGAGTAGTTCAAAGAAAAAGTCGAAGCAGGAGCCAGTGAAAGAGGACTGGGTGGGAAATCATCCATGGAAACCTTGGGATCGGGAAAATGATTTGACTGCGGGAAGGCAAAAGGTTAAATTAGATGCTGAAAACATGGCCGCGGGCCTGACTTCCAGATTTGCCTCGGGATCTTTCCAAAGAAACTTCCTCTAGATCTTTGATTGCGTTTAGTCAATGGATTCAGCAGGACGAGATAGTTTGTCCTTCAAGCTTCGATGTTGTCTGCAGCTCTTGTGCTGAATCTGGTTTGAGGTCAATTGTCATAGTTTTGCAACTCAATACCATGTTAGAAACTGTAGTCCATATAATCCCATTTGATACTTATATAGGACATGTTTGATATACGGTATTGAATAGAAATAGTACAATATAAGATTTTTAACTTACACTATTTTTTTTTTCGTGCTTTAACTCTCAATTCCAGTAGTTCCGAATAATTCAATTACTAGACTGAAGCAGACATCATAATAGAAAAGATTTTCACTTTTTGTCTTCATTACTATTTTCGAGCCAAATTCATCTTACCAAACATGTTATACTTTTTGTTAATAAGTTATTTTTTATTGTTTTTGTGAAGCATTTATTTCATGGTCGGATTTAGATTGAAACCATGGATGCATTTGGATTTCAGGTTCATAAAATAACTAAAGTAGTATCTGAATATTTTGCATTATGACACATAATAGGAAAAACTACATTTTTAAACATGTTGAATCTACCAAAAATTTCAATTAGGATTTTTGGGCATTGGATCGTTATAAGATTAATGCAGTATTTTAAAAAGCTTAGTGTGGTTAGACAACAAAATTAAGTTTAAAGCTTTTATGAAATTAAGCGAGGCTACGTGAACTGTGAAGTCTAGGCAAAACCTAGACATAAATAATTAAGTGTTGGGTAAATGTTCGTTCCTGGGGAAAGCTTCGGCAAAGCTTGGGCAATTCAGAGCAATGGATTAAAGAAATGTTTGAGCAAGCCTGAAAATAAATATGCATTTTTTTAACAATATTTATCTTTTTAAGTAACTTCGATAGTTCGATAGTTATAAATATGTTAGAAGGATTTTGCTATTTGTATAGTGCAATTTACCACCTTGATGACAGAAAAGTGTGTTGTCAAAAAATTATTGGATGAAAAAACAGTTTGACACCTTGTTGATAGATGAGTGATGTGACAAAATTGTGATGGTTGGATTAAGTGTGTGATGTGTGAAAGATGATGTGAGATTTTAACAAGTGTAAATTCGATAAGTGAGAGTGTAAAGTAGGAAGTACAATATAGCAAAATTGTATTTTTTTTTTCCTTCTTTTAAGCAAAAAATAAAAGTAAATTTCGAATATTGAACTTGCTTTATGGTCAAGGTTATAGCATATTTTTGAAAAGTATTCATAAAAAATAAAAGTAAATTTCGAATATTGAACTTGCTTTACATAGCATTTTTATCCTTTTTTTTTCCCTCCAAAACTTAAATTACTATTTCATTTTCATCTAATTTTTTTTTCTCATTCACCCATCCCCAGGGGCGGACCCATCACAAAACTTCAGCCCGGGTGAACGTTGATGAAGGGGTTGAGGATGTAGGTTGCTTTATGATACCAAAGGAGTTTGGATATGAGCTAGTAACTTCACACGTGCACTGATATTGGATATGAGCTAGATCTTAAACCTGGGGACCATGCTACACTCACAAAATGTTTTACAAAATGTTTTACAAACTAGCCACTTGGCGTCCCACCATTGGAGGGGCTCCTGTAATGACAGGCGCCCCTCCAATGGTGGGGCGCCAAGTGGCGAGTTGGTAAAACATTTTATAAAACATTTGGTACATCTAGGTTTATCCTAAACCTGGTTCATGGTCTTCAGTTAGATGAAATATTCATCTGGAACTTCTTCAAGACCACCGTTTGTTACTTTGTACATTTGATTGATGAAGTGCTCAATTTGCATATCATGTCTTTCTAACCTTTTCAGTGCGAATCGAGAACTTATGTGGATGTTTATATGTTTTGCAGAGATCCTACAGACATGACAGAATCATTGAAGGCCTTAATATCTCCAAAGAAATGATAAGTCCCAACTCTGTAACTAGGCAACTTAATGATCAAATTTCTCTAGAAAAGTCATTTCTTGCCATTGCAAAGGAAAGCAACAACCTCCAATTTGCATGGGAACTTAGTGTTCCAATCCGCAACTCGCAAATCCTTCTCTCCAATGCTTCCGTTCATCAGAAAACCCTCACCGTCGTACCCAATTTTCATCTTAATCATTATTTTAACCACCCATTTCCTACCCACCGTCCGATCAAGCTCCAATTTCCTCAAATTACCCTCCAACCAAGAAGAAGATGGAAATCTATACTCCGCAAATTTGAAACCCGATTTCTGGCCTGTAAAGTGCTTCCGTGCAGCTGCGATGATGATGAAAGTTATTTCATTTAATTGGGCCTCATTTTAAAAAAAGCCCAACTCTTACAGCCCAAAACAAATGGGCCAAAAAAAAAAGAAAAAGGCACAAACCTGTTCTTCTTCCTCCCCGACTTCTATGTTCTATGTTTTCTCTTTTCTTCAACAGCGGCGGTCGATGGAATTGAAGGCTTCGGCGAATTCAGCACTGGTTGTCGCGCCCCCTCGCCGAGTGCTGGGTCCGCCCCTGCCCATCCCTCCATAAATTAACATTTAATCAAGTTCTCTCGGTGCATTATATACATAACTTTTTTCATTTTCATTTTTACATGGCTATATATTTTCATTTCCAAAATAGATACAAATAAAATTGTGCATGCATTTGTAACAATTTTTTAAGTTGCAAAAGTTTTCCAACTTACAAAAAATAAGAAATTGATTTTTATCTACAAAATAGCATCTTATATCTAAAAAAATTTAAATTGATTTTTTTTGTTTATTTTAATATAATAACTAAGAATTTTATTTGTTTTTACAATGTTGGCAAAGTAAAATGAAGTATTTTCTAAACTTTTCAATATTTTATTAACTTGCTATTTTTTTTTTATTGATTTGATAATAAAGATTATATATAAAAAAATATGTATTGTTATTTCAATTAAGGATATTTTTATCTATATAGCTATTTATTATGTACATTTATAAGTTTTCAGCAAATGATTTTTTTTTTTTTTTTGTAACTATTATGCAAAACGTGAATTTATAAAATAAAACATGTAAAGTGTAATTACATTCATATACAGGGTGTATTTTATAAAACTTTCAAATTATAAATAAATAGAAATGAATAATGAATAAATGGATAGTACTTGTAAATATCTCAAAATATGTAGGTAAAAAGTGATTTAATTATTTATAAACAATTTATACATATTAGCCAAACATAGGCTCAGTAACATTTTCGTCTTTAACTATCAGGTTAAAAACTAGGGAGAATTGTAGCCAATGTACTAAACTTTTCATTTAGTATCAGACTTGATCCAAACATTTCATTTGTACCACCATAGATATCAAATCTTTAAATAATTCGTACCTCAAGTCCAAAATAATGGTTTTCGTCGATTTGACCCAAAAAACGGTCTGTTGACCCCAGAGAATTAAAATTTTAATAATTTCCCGAGATAAGGTAAGGATATTTTAGGCATAACACATTTTTCTTATTAATAAATGAAAAAAAAAATACAAAATCACAACCCGACCCTATCTTTTTCTTCCCCAACCCCCTTACCCCATAATCAAAACCACGTCACCCAACTGCTGGCAGGCATCGCCCCCGCCTCAATATATTTGGTTTTGGTGCAAATTTACCTTTTTTTTGTTTTAATTTCAAATACAATATTTTTGCACTAAATTGTCTTTAGCCTCCCTAAATAATCTTTCTAATCTAGCTATTTATCTATCTATCTATCTCCCTCTCTCTCTCTCTCTTCACTCGAAACTACCTTTCATCACTTTCAATCTCTTTCTAAAACATATCATTTACTTTCTGTCTCTATAACCAAAGAAATGGAAAAGATTTGGATCAGAATCAATGGTATGTGTTGACCCAAAAAATTGTATCAATGATGTGGCTAATAGATCCCAAAACTTCTCGCGTCCACGTAAGCTGAATCCTAACACACTTGGACTAGTCGCTGGTTAAGACGGTTGTGTCAAGCTAGATGAGTGATTTAGGGTGTGGGAAAGCTTAGAACGTAAGCCTCCAATTGAAAAAGGGGATCGATTTTGGGGTAGAATATCAGAAATGTATGTAGCAAGAATATTTGATTGAGAATCTAAACTTGCATTAACCTTGAATGGCACTAAGTGTGGGCTTTCATACTTGAGTAGGAGAAACAACGTTCGTCGAATGATAGGACACGTGGCTTCATCAAATTGATCGGCCCTTCTTATTACATGCATCAATCAATCAATAAGGGCATTAAATGCTAAAACTCCTTATGCATCTACAAGCCCTAATTTGTACAAGTGGGATTTGACCGTGTGGGCTTACAGAGGCGGCGTTGATAGTGAGTTGTCTTGTCAATCACATCACCACAAGATTTGTTAGGGATCTAGCCATCGTCTCGTCAAAACCGACTTCTATACGGGGCGTCTTCCCAAATGGGGTCGCTCCAATTTTGCTTCATATGAAAGAGGTCGCCTTACTACATATAACAGGGTCGTCTATGTTACCACGTAAGGTAGGGGCCCTCAAATCCGTTTGCCACGTAGGGGCGATTATTTATATGAGTAACAACAGTCCTTGAAGTCCAGGTGTGATTATTTATATAATGTGTGGACTTACTAGTCTAAGAAAGAACAAGACTTCGTTAACTAAAACTGGCGACGGGGTTGAGGTGTATATGATGAGGCTCGGGAAGTAAAGGGGGAGCCTATTCGATAGTTGAGCATTGTGATAAGGCTGAAAAGCATAGGCGAGGCCATTAGAGAAACTACCGAGCCTATTTAGGAGCTAAAGCCTGTAATAAGGCTGTAAAAGTGTTAAGCAAGGCCATGGGAGAATCTACCGAGCCTATTTAGAGCTGGAGCCTATAGTAAGGCTGTAAAATTGCTAGACGAGGTCATTTGGGGAATCTACCGAGCCTCTTTAAAGCTGGAGCCACCAATAAGGCTGTAAAAGTGTTAGGCGAGGCCATTGGAGGTTGCCAGGTGGCTTGCCATAACGATTTGAAGGGCGTGTTGATTCCCAAT